CTTTTCTGGTTTGGATATCAAATATCTTAGGGAGTCTGTGTAAAGAAACAAAAGCTTGACCCTAAAAAATACTACCTATTTAACGCCTGCTTCTTGGTGTTTCATATTTTCTAAACTTCGTTAATAACAGTTTATTCGAGTTAGGACTAAGAATAGTATCTGTCTTAGAAGTTTCTATATTGTTTTTCTGTAGTTTAGTTTTAATTATTATTGACCAGAAGATCATTAGAATGAGTTTTTTTGAGTATATGTTATTATTATAATCCAATATTATCTATAATCTATAACTATATATTAAAAAAAATATATGTAATGATAACATTTAGATTACTCTATATATAGTGTGTAATGATAACGTTTAGAATAACAATATAATTAGTAATAAATTGTATTACCCTTTTGCCACTTTTATTGCCCATAATATATGTGTTTTCTATCACGCATTTGCATATTTAATAATCATATTACAGGTTCTTTACTATACGCGTTTACTAAGATATTCGTGTTTTATTTTTTTTTTCACTTTACCTAATACTTTTTTTTTACTTTATTACTATTAACTTTTCTTTTGCTTTTGTTCTATCATCTTTTTTTAGTTACTTTTCTACGTTCAAAAATCTGAATACTAAAACAACTACAATACAGATACACGTTTAATATAATATTTGCATTTTATATTTTATATTTTTTTTTTAAACTAAACTCATATACTAATTACTTTCTTATTACTTCTTTTAAAAAATCACTTTTGTTATCCTTAGAACTAGCCAATGTCTTGAGTGCAACGGTGCTGGGTTATTTATATAATCTTTTATAATTATTATAATCATCATCACTGTTATCAGTTTTTTTAATTTCAATTTTTCGAATACTATCTGACCAGACTGCTGAATATACAGAGCCAAATCTACCTTTACCAGCATCAAACGACATAGAGTTGCATTCGCTATGATATTACCCATATTACTTGCTTACTGCATGCTACTTAATCTAATCTTATTTCATCTTTTCAGATCTAATTCAGTGTAGTATTTTTCTCTCTTCTCATATTACATGATTTAGATTTGTATATTCCTATGCATTTACTTAAAATACTATTTTATTCCTCTTCATTCCATTATTTATATTATTTACTCTTTTTTATTTCTTAGACTAAGTTTCTATGTATTTATTAGCCTATGATAGATTTTAATCTTTTTTCACAAACAAAAAGGATATCTGCTGGAGAATTTATTATATTTTTTCTTATGCTTTACACAAACCAAGAAACAATAGTTATATCCAATCTTTCTAACGAAAATACAATTTCTGTAGTGTGTTCAAAAATAATGAAAAAACTCATCGCTGAAATTTATTCTAATATTTCGCTTTTTATGCAGATTCTTTACTACATATATTTACTAAGGTATTCGTATTTTACTCTTTTTTTCGCTTTACCTATTGCTTTTTTTTTAACTTTTTTTACTATTAACTTTTTTTTAGATTTTGTTCTATCAACCTCTTTATTTGCTTTTTCATATTTGAATATCTGAATACTTAAACAACTATAATACAGATACATGTTTAATATAATATTTGCGTTTAATTTTTTATTATTATTTTTTTTTTTTAACTATACTTACATACTAATTACTTTCTTACTAGCATCAAATAACATGGAGTTGTATTCGCTATGATATTACCCACATTACCTGCTTACTGTATGCTACTTAATCTTACCTTATTTCATTTTTTCAAATCTAATTCAGTGTAATATTTTTTCCTTCTCTCATATTATATGATTTAGATCTGTATATTTCTATGCATTTACTTAAAATACTATTTTATTTCTTTTCTTTCTGTTAGTTATATTATTTACTCTTTTTTATTTCTTAAAATAAGTTCTTACGTATTTATTAGCCTACGATAGATTTCAACCTTTTTTCACAAATAAAAAGAATATTTGCTGAAGAATTCATTCCATTTCTTCGTATGCTTTACACAAAACAAGAAACAATAGTCACATCCAATCTTCCTAATAAAAATACAATTTTCGTGGTGGGTCTAGAAATAATGAAAAGAACTTATTGCTGAAATTTATTCTAATATTTCGCTTTTCATATATATAGTCGTTGTTAAGGTTATATTAGTATTTCCTCTATAATTTATTAACATTGAATTTTTTATTTTATTTACTTTATACTATTTACTACATTTTCTTATCTTTTATATGCTTTGTTTTATCCTACTTATTCTTTTCCTTTTTTTTTTTTTTTAGAATTTTCTTTCTAAATTTTGCCTGAATTTTACGGTTTAGGTGCTTTTCGAATTTCTTTTTACCTCCTTTAAGTTATCATTATAACAGAGTCACTAATTGATTTTTATTGTGACTATTAGCTTAATGTGTTGTTTAACTTATAATATAATTTCACATCTATTAAGTTATGTGATAGAGGTAATTGTCATTTGAATATTACTATTCCATACAACAAATTTTTTATACTCTTTAGATTAATCATTACATTTTCTTTTAATTAATTCTTCTTAATTATATTACATAGTACTTGGATTCAGATTTATCCTCTCTCTTTGCTATACTTAGTAACTTAATATAATGAAGCTCATAGAAAAGCTCTGTTATATCAAAATCTCATGATATACAAGATATTATAGTAAATAATAATTTAGACTTGTTATAATTCTCTGTATTAAGCAATATCCGTTATATCGATGCTCTGTTATATTGAAAACCACTATGTATAGACTATTTTTTATATGATATTTTTTAATCCAGCTATTTAATATTAACAACTTTCTAACCTACTACAGATTAAATCATCTTTTTATCTTTATCATAGTCTATAACTTCACCATAGCTCTTTATCTTTCTAAACTTCCGATATGAGGAGTAGGATTAACAGGTCTAAAACTAAAATCAACTAATTATCTAATCTACTATATAATACTAAAACTATTCTCTGATAGTTCCAGGACTTCTGAAACTTCGAGTTAAAAGGCTCAATAAATTATAGAAAAACTTGCTCCAAGTTTCAAAACTTTCAGATCTAGATGTTGACACCGGGTTTAATAATTCGAGTTTATTTTATGAATTTTGAGATATTTTAGAATTAAATCTGATTAAATTTTAATAAATTCTAAAATATCACAAAATTTACATGATAAACTCTAATTATTAAAACTGGTTCCAACCTCTATTCAGATCTTGCTACGATGATATTAAAGTTCAGGATAAGTATAACCTTGTGTTTTGTCTTTACTGCTGATTTAAATACTTTATTTGTAAGCTAAAAGCAATTTTTCTTTTTAAACTTAAGTACTGCAAGATTCAATATTCAACTTCAGTCGCTAAGGTTCTTAACGATTTTCATATGATTATGAAAGTAGAATCACAGTATATTGTTTAAAGTAAACAATAATATTTATCAATAATTTAATCAGTGTATTACTCTACAAAAGAGGTTTTGGATTACTAATAAAAACTTTTTCTTTTAATTTTAAGAAAGAATATCGATTTTTACGAATATCGCCAGACAAAAATTTCTACTTGAATTCAAAAACTCAACTGAGTTCCAAACTTATAAGTGAGCTATTTTTATTAAAGTAGATTTTGTCGTCCTTATAAACATATTTCTTTATACCAATTTGCTTCGCACTTTTCAACTAAATCTATCATATCTAACAGATTTAACGTATATTAGATCTGGTATATCTGTTTTAGACTATCTTGATTTCCTATATGCAGAAAAGGTTTTTTTCGATCTATGTACAATTTACTTTTTCACCCAGTTTCGCCAAATACTATATTAATATACATATCTTACTTTCAGAATTTTTTATTTTTTATTTTACTATTTTTACTAACTATTTCTATACTCTTTTCTTTTGAGTTATACTTTTTCAGTGCCTTTCAATAGTGCTATACAGTAATTCTCGATATAACAGAGCCCATCATTCTAGTTCTTTACTCCATTACATCAAATACTCTATTATATCAGAATCTCATAATATATATGATATTATAGTGAATCATAATTTGAACTTATTATAATTTCTATATTAAGCAATATCAATTATATCGATAGTCTGTTATATCGAGAGCCACTGTGTATATTGCTTTTTTGAATTCTATGATTCTTTTTATTAAATATAAGTATCATATATTTTTTATTTAATTTTGATTCTTTAATATAAACTTTCTTATTTTTATTTTTTCTTTATTATCTCTAAGTTCTTAAATAGGCTTGTATTATATTATGTTAATTTTTAATAACAATACGATTTCATAATTTATTGTTATTTTTAATTATATCTTTATTTAAAGTTTTAATAAAGCATTAAATTCTATACATCAATATTGTTTTTTTTTATGTATTACATATTTGCCAAATGATATAAACTTTACAACCGAGATATCTACCTAGAAATTACCATTAATGTATTACAATGGTTTATCCATTTTTGTAACAATATTTTCTTTACTCATCTGTATTAGGAAATTACCTAATTTCTCTTTTGCACATCCACAATTTCAACCAAATTAGGTAATTAATTATATTCAAACCTACCAGAGAAGCGCGTTCGGTATAATATAATTAATTTTTTTTACACATCTTATGATGTTTTGGTTATTATCATTATATTAATATAATCTTATCTTTGATTTCAGTCACTGCTCTATGTAATACTAAATTATCTTTGCTTCTAGGCTCTACTCTATATAAATCATATTATAATCAAAGCCTATCGCTAATATGCGAATTCAATATTTTTACATTTTTATAATTTTAATATAATTGTATTATTCTTATTGCTTCGTGATCTGATAATGATCATATGAACAATACCTATTTAAACTGATACTTTTGACTTTGCTTAAAATTTTACTATGAATTAACCAATAATTCATTTATCATTTAGTAATTATATATATTATCACATCAAATTTTCAATTTTTATTAGTGTATTAACTTCCATTAAAGCTTTCAATATCCTACTCTTTCATGTGTAATCTTTCATCTTTAGATATAACAACACCTTCTAGTAGCTCTGCATCATCAGAAGAACATCGAAAGCAACTCAACTATGATCGCCAGAAATATTTTAAAGACAAGAATAAGAAAACTGCCTCAAACCTATCTGTTAATATTTCTGAAGACCTTCAACTCTTACTTAGCGCCGAAGTTCCTACAGTTGAAACTGCCTCAAACCTATCCGTTAATGTTTCCGAAGACCTTCAACCCTTACTTAGCACCGAAGTCCCTATAGTTGAAACTCCTGCTATTGATAGTGATTCTGATTCTGCACCATCAGAAGAACAATGAAAACAACTCAACCATGAATGCCAGAAATATTTTAGAGATAATAATAAGGAAACTACTTCACACCTATCCACTGTCTTGGCTTGCACATCTTTTGATACTAACGTAGATAACTAATTTTTGAGAGGTGGTATATCGAATTTTCAGATTCATGGTCAAGTCTATCATCTAATCAGATTGTTATTACCAAATAAAGATCTCACACCAATATTTGCTCAACTATATATTTATAATACTGCAAATGAAATTACAAACCGTTATAATATAATGTATGAATTAAATGAAAATATTCTACAGAATTTACAGAATATGCTAGATACCTGCAATCTATATATCCAAAATTTCTGGCATATGAGAGATCTCATACAAGACAATGTAACCACTGAAATTTCATTGATAATTCATAACGATAGAAATCGAGATATTTGTTATTATAATGCTCTAACAGCTCCTGATATAGCTGCAATAATGGTAGGTGATGGTTATAAGATAAATTTAACGAGTTGTGACATTCTTCTTAGAATACATAATAGAAATTTGCAGAGAATATCAGAGTTTCATCCTTCATATAACCCTCTCCACTACATATTATTATTCCCTAAAGGTGATAATAGGTGGTATACAGATATACCACTTATAGATATTTTAAAAAGAGAATGAGTAACAACTATGCAATTTTACTTTTATCGATTGCAGATTAGAAATAGTGATTAGATACAACATGCTGGCCGCTTATATCAACAGTATATTGTTAATCAGTATGCTAAAATAAAACAAAATCATTTAATTTACCTTAATGTAATCAAAAATCACTTCATGCTAAATTTTATCAAGGTATTATAGACAAGTATATGCTAAAGATTGTAGTAATACTGTTGGTTGTTATATAATCCTTTCATCATCTTTTACAGGCAGACTACGTCAAATGTATCAGTTATATCAGGATGCGATAGTGATTATCGTTCACTTTGGAAAACCAAATCTTTTTGTTACATTTACATATAATTCTAAATGGCCAGAAGTTACCAAAGAATTATTATCTCTTCAGAATGCTGCTGATAGGCCTGATTTAATAGCACGTGTGTTTCATATAAAATTACAAACACTGTTAAAAGTTTGTATTATAACTATTGGCTTGATAAAGTTATTACATACATATATGTAGTAGAGTTCCAAAAACGTGGTCTTCTCCATATGTATATTCTATTAATCCTTGCTCCAAATGACAAATTATGAACTACAGAAGATTATGATTCCATCATCTTTGCTGAAATCTCTGACATTTGCACACATTCACTTGCCTATAAGACAGTAACAATCATAATGATACATAGTCCATATGGTTTACTAAAGCCTGACACATCATATATGAAAGATAGTGTCTGTACAAAACATTATTCTAAAACTTTTCAAGAACGTATCTTGAAAAGTGATAGTGGATACCCTATTTACTGCAAATAAAACAATGTACATTTTGTTAAAAATGGAATCCAATTAGACAATATATGAGTTGTACCGCATAACGTTAAATTATACACAAAATACAATGCTTATATTAATATTAAAATTTGTAGTTCTATAATGGCTATTAAATATCTATATAAATACGTATATAAAGGACATGATCGAGCGACTGTTATGTTTGCCCATTCTAGCCAAGCTGATAATCAACAACTTTTACCTGAAGTTGCCCAGATTGATGAAATTAAAATATACTTGAATGCAAGATATGTTTTAGCTTTAGAAAATATTTGAAGAATTTTTTATTATAAATTGTATAACCGTAGTCCAAAGGTACAGAGGCTTGCTGTCCATCTCAATAGATATTAATATGTTACATTTCAAGATGAAGACAATCTTCAAAATATCACCAACTGTAATTAAAATCGTATAACAACTTTGACTGCTTGGTTTCAGGAGAATATAGAGAACCCGATGGCATGTATATATACTTACGTTAACTTTTTTTCTTATTATACTTGAAATTCTTTATGCTATAAATAGATATCTAGAAGAACATCAACGACTATGATTGGGCAACTTTACATTGTACAGTCTTCCGAAGGTGAGAGATATTATTTACAAACTTTACTTATCCATATAAAAGGTGTGACCGGCTTCGATGACCTAAAAACTATTAATAGCTATACTTGTGGTAGCTTCAAAGAAGCTTGCTCTTATCTTGGTTTTCTTCAGAATGATATTGAATAGGATGTTTGTTTGCTTGAAGCAAGTGCTGTATAAACAGGATATCAACTTTAACAGCTTTTTGCAAACATACTTCTATTTTGCCAACTGCTAAAATCTGAGTTGTTATAGGATAATCATAAAGTAGCATTGTGTAAGAATATTTTATATCGAGCTTATGTGCAATTACAAGATTTCGATAATGCAAGTGATATCTTTGCTATAATTAAACATGAAGCTCTTACTCGATTAGAAAATATATTTTTACTAAGTAGAAAATCTCTAAAAGATTTTCCCGATATACCAATTCCCCTTATTACTTCAAATATCAGTAATAATAAAGAAGTATTAAATTATTTAATACGTGAAGAGAGATCCTATAATATAACAGACTTACAAACCGAATTATAACACAACATACCTTTGTTAAACAATGATCAATATGCAGTATTTAATACTATTATGAGAGCAATTAACAATAAAGAAGAAGAATATTTTTTGTAGATGGACCAGGTAGTACAAAAAAAACTTTTATATAACACTTTACTAGCAAGTATTAGGTCACGTCACCACATTGCTTTAGCAATAGCTTCTTCAGAAATCGCAGTACTTTTAATAAAAGATGGATATATAGCTCATAGTCATTTTAAATTCTACTTAAACCTAATGAATCTTCTATGTGTAATATTTTATGAAATAGCAAAGAAGTCCATTTAATCAGCATCACAAAACTTATCATCTAGAATAAGGCCCTAATGACTAATAAGTTTGCATTTGAAGCCTTTGATCGTATATTTCGTGATATTATGCAAGTAGATGATCTATTTGGGAGAAAGGTTATTGTTCTTGGTAGTGATTTTTGTTAAGTACTATCTGTTGTACCCATGGCTCCTGCACAGATATCATTTCGGCTAGCTTACCCCGCTCTTCATTATAGAGTTATATGAAAATCATAAAATTAACAATTAACATGAGACTCCAGTAAACTAATGATATTAATGAGAATCATAAACAAAAAGAATTTGCCGAGTTTCTTTTACAAATAGGAGATAAAACGTACCCAATCATCGCAAATACAGAAAATAGAATAATACTCCCTTCCAATATAGTCATAATTGGTAGAATATTATTAGATCTTATTAATTATGTTTATCCGAATTTCATCTAAAACTCTAATAATATTAATTACTTAACTGAACAAGCTATATTAACTCCAAAAAACAACAATGTTGATGTAATCTCTGATCTAATAATAGATCAGTTCTCTGGTCCAGTTTCTATATATCCCAGCGCAGACTCTACAGATTCGGCAGATGATAGAAATATAAACTACTCTCATCTATACTTACCAGAATTTTTAAAATCCTTAAAAATCTCTGGCTTTCCTCCTGGTCAATTAAAGTTAAAAGTTGGCATACCTATAATGCTTCTGCATGATTTAAATCTAGCAGAAGGACTTTGCAATAGAACTCGATTAATTTGTCAAGCTCTTTATAGCAAAGTAATCATTGCTGAAATTATCACAGAATCCTATATCGGTAGTTATATATTTATATCTCGAATTTCGTTATCATCTTCTGATACTGAATTACCTTTCATTTTAACAAGACACCAATTTCCAGTGCATTCTGCTTTTTCTATAACCATCAACAAAGCACAAGGTCAAACATTGAATCAAGTTGGTATCTATTTACTGAAACTAGTTTTTTTATATGGTCAATTATACATTGCTTTATCAAGAGTTACTTCCTACTATACTATTAAAATTCTCATATCTAATAATTCAAATATAACTTTAAATTATTGTTACACAGATAATATTATATATCGTGAAGTTTTTTCGTACATAATATAATACCTGAGTGATTTTCTTGCAATATTTCTCTATTTTGTAACCTTATTGACCAAAAGGCAAAATAAAATATTATATATAGTATTTTAACATTCAATAAAAACTTAACAAAGCAATAAATATTCTTCTTACCAATTCACTTTATCCTGAATTATACATGGGTTCTTAAATTGCCCATCTTAATAAAAAGTAATTATGGCATTTAGGTAGCCAAAATTAGTTTTATATAGTACTGAAATTATTTTTCATATTTGCCTAAATTATTGCCAAAATTTTCTGAACTCTTTTTATCAAAATACATCATATAATATAGTTATTTCAAAGGGCTTCATATAAAAAATTTAGTAATGCCGAAATATTTGCCGAAAATACGATTTTTCAAAAATAATTTCAGTACCCATGTATACCTTGAATAAACTTAAACCCTTTTCTCTTGACTTTATAAAACAACTGAATTTAGTGCTTCTTAAATATAATATCGCATCAAAATATTATAAGCTAAACTAACCTTAACCTAATTAATTAATTATCCTTTATTGATTACCAGTATCTATATTTTCATAATGAAAATTTTTCTACACTACGTATTTTAGTTTTTTCTGATGCCTCTATTCAATAAACTACATATACAATTTAAGTTACCTATTTTAGAAGCCCAATCTAATTCGTCATATTCTATCTCTAACAATTATATAGCCTTCTACTTCACTTACAACCCAATTAATAAATATATACCATAAAATCACTAATCTAACCTTAAACAGTTGTGCTGCCTACTGCGTAGCTTAATCCTGTGCTTCTCTCTGTACCATGAATATATTTATTAGCAAAGTAAAGTTGAATAGTGATGCTTAATGCAAAGATATTTTCTTAATTACAGTATATCGATTTAATTTGAACGAAAGTAAAGAAACTTTTTTTTTCTTACTTATATACCTCATATTTAACTTATTACATCATCAATCACTTATATTATATACTTTAATATGACGTAAATAAAAATTACATTCTCTGATTAACCCAAACAGATCAATGCTCATGATCGAACCACGTATTCACGAGTCTTCATGCAACTACCCCAGAATCTGAGAAATCTATAGATAGTACATTGTGATTAGGGTGTCCAAGATTATGCGATGTGAAATTATGCACATAGTTGCCTATATTTTCGTATCAAATATACTTCGCATAATTAAGAAAAAAGTAGAAAGCTACAGACACAACATTTTACATGACTTATCAACACAACATCAGCCTGAGTTAGGGTTAGAGTTAACGTTAGAGTAATAGTAAAAGTACTAGAGTATTTTAGTAATGCTAGTCATTATTGTGTCTATAAGCACATAAACATGTGAAATGTTGTGTCTGTAGCAATCTCCAGAAAAAAAATATAATGCATGTAGATAGTATGTAATTGGTGAATTGGTGCTTGGTAGCTGAGTATTCCGAAAACTTCTAGTACAGAAAATCTAAAATATTCCAAAGTTTTTAGATGATTAACAAAATTTTAAATAAGAAATCGCATCTATCACATAATTTAACCTTGCACGCATAATTCTGGACACCCTAATTGGAACAGTAAAATTATATGATATTATATTAAATCCTCTACTCAAACTGCTAACTAACCAATCACACCTTAAGCATATGATTTTGTACTGTCCTCATGCATTGTCTTGCTTAAGAGCAAATCTTACATTTTTAATACTTTTGCACTTACTTTTTTGATACACCTAAATATACACTAAAACTAACCAATAGAACTATATATTTTTATAATAAAAATTTAAAAAAAAGTATAAAAATTTTAGGGTATATTTAGGTGTATCAAAAAAAAATAAATGCAAAAATATCAAAAATGTAAGTTTTACCACCCAGGATCATAACCAAAATCCAGCTTTCACATGATTAAACTCCAATCAAATCTTAAGATCAGATGTAATATAATACAAATATAAAAAACCACTTTTGCAATTTTACAATTAAAACCCTTAATAATTAGCCATAATATGAATACTAACTATAAATAAGTTTAAAAGTTTTTTTAACTATTATGTACTAGCCAGATTTTGGTAGTAATACTAAAAAAAATCACAAAAACTAATATATACTATATATTCTTTATATAATAATATATATTATATATTATTATAAAATTAAATTATTATACAATTTTTAAAATTTTTTGAAGCCTTTTTTGTCAACTTTTTTTATACTTAAATTAAAATTAGAATTATTAATAAAAGAGTATAAATAGATTTTAGTAAAGCTTATATTTTTAATTTAAAATTCCAAATTTCATAATAATCTGATTTCATAATAATCTGTAACAATATATATACTGTATTATATACTATTAAACCTACCCGAACTAATATACATAATAGTATCAGTATTATTAAATTTAAAAATATTATAAGCTACATTATATCTCTTTATAATTACATTTATAAAATATAAAAAAGCTAATTATAAAAATCAAATTTATTATATTTAATAATAAATTTGTATTTAAAAATTTTTTAAATTTATATCTGTATATTATTGTACGAGTTTACAACTAGATTTATTATAATAAAATAGTGTTGAATTATAATTATAACATATACTAGTGATATTGTAAAATATATAAAATTTTTTTATTAAAAAATTTTTTAAAAAAAAAAAATTAAAATCCAGATTAGCAGGTTATAAAAGATTAATTAGTGATATGAAAACTAAAAATATAAGTTTGTGTGGTCTAAGAATATAAATACTTATTTACCGTTATATAGTATACTTTAAATTGTTTTAATTATACAGATTATTTTATTCAACCTATGAATATGAAAATCGTTAAATAGTAAAATTAAATTAACAAGTTAGTGAGAGTTTAACACGATAAACAAAGGTAATTTTTAAATCAAAAAATGTTATTTTAAATATAAACTTCATAACTAGTATGTTACTTATCTCAAGTATATTATATTTTTGGTCTAAACCATGCTGCCTGTTTAAGCAAAGCTATTTGAGATTAGAAATTAAATATAATTTAGATTTAGACTTTAAATTAATTTTTATTGTCTGTTTAGAATTTAGAATCAGGTAAAAATATGTCAAAGCAAACTGTTAATTTTGGGTTTGGGTAAGATTGTGTCAAAGTGATCTATTAATTTTGGATTTGGATAGCAAATAAAGTAAAAATTAAGAAAATGAATACAAATTTACTATAAAATAAATTAATTTA